ACCATATTCCACGTAAGTCACTCAAGAAAAACAGTTCTCCTCCCTGGTTCGACGGTGAAATTAAACACCTTATTAATAAGAAGGATTTTTGCAGAAAAAGGGCAAAACAGTCGCTGAATCCAAGTGCATGGGAAAAGTTTCGAACTCTAAGGCGTCAAGTCAAATCATTGTTGCATGACAAGCGTAGAGAATTCTTTCAAAATCTGCCTGATCTCTTGAAAACAAGTAGCAAAAAATTTTGGTCCGTTTTTAAATCAGTCTCCAAACATTCGAACATACCAAACAAAATTTCTTGGTCTAAAGATCCTACAACGCATATCGCTGCTGACAACCCTGCGGACATTGCAAATGTATTCAACCGTTATTTTTTCTCAGTCTTTAACACTGCCCAATGCCACGATTCACATCGTCACCTCGACCAAGAAAACTATAATACCATTGACACACTTCAGGATATCGTTATTACGCCTGAGGAAGTTTACGAATGTCTCTGCACACTAGATCAGAATAAAGCATCAGGACCTGACAGAATTCCAGCCACACTTTTGAGACACTGTGCTTCCAGTATCTGCTCGTCTCTTTCTGAGCTTTTCAATAAAACATTGTCTATTGGTAAGTTGCCAAAAGAATGGAAACTGTCCAACATTACGCCAATCCCAAAGAGCGGGTCTTCTAGCAATGTTACCAATTACCGACCTATTTCGCTTCTATCACTTGTATCCAAGGTACTTGAGAGATGTATCTACAACAGGCTTATTGAGCACATTGGAGAAAAATTACATCATCTGCAGTTTGGTTTCTTGAAGGGCAAGTCAACTACTAGTCAACTCCTGCAGGTGTTACACGACATTGGAAACAATCTAGACAACAAGTGTCAAGTAGACACACTGTACTTGGACTTTGCCAAGGCATTTGACAAAGTAAACCATGAACTGCTGCTTTTCAAATTGAAACGTTTTGGCATCTCCGGTAATCTCCTATCTTGGCTACGTGATTATCTTTCTGGTCGCTACCAGAGGGTAACGGTTCTCGGCGAGACCTCGAATCCATTACCTGTCCTATCTGGTGTGCCACAGGGATCGATACTCGGACCACTACTTTTCCTGGTTTATGTAAACGATCTTCCCGACTGTGTCTCAAGTTCTTCATCATTGGCAATGTTTGCGGATGACTCTAAATGTTATCAACCCATTAAATGTTATGAGGACGCCGAAGTCTTGCAGTCTGACATAAATGCTATTGACTCTTGGTGCAAGGAGTGGCAGATGTCTTTAAATCACTCTAAATGTGGTCTTCTTCGCATTACAAGAAATTCTCAACCGATCCATTACTCTTACAACGTGGAAGGCAACTTACTTAAAACAATCAACAAACAAAAAGATCTTGGTGTTATAGTCTCTAAAGATCTTAAATGGAGCCTCAACGTCCAAGCCGTCTCAAATAAGGCCAACAAAATGTTGGGGTTCGTAAAAAGATCGTGTTTTCATGCAAGTGACCCAAAAGTACGAAAGACCCTGTATTTAGCCCTAGTAAGAAGCCAGCTTGGTTACTGTAGCCAAGTGTGGGCACCCCAAACCACCCATGACATTCAAACCCTGGAACGAGTTCAGCGTCGCAGCACGAAGTTTATTTTATCTCTTCCATTTCAAACAGATATTTCATATCCTAAAAGACTCGCTAAACTCAACATTCTTCCAATTACCTACTGGCATGAATACCTGGATCTTGTTTATCTATTCAAATGTCTTTATGAAAATTCCGACAAAAATATAAAACTACATTCACCAAATCGTGTAACCAGACGCTCTAGTTCCACATCAGGACTCCTTCTTCAGATTACCAAATCAAAAACAGTAACCTTTCAAAACAGTTTTTATATCAGAGCATGCAGAACGTGGAACACTCTACCAATATCTTTAAGAAACTTAACTTTATTGTCTTCGTTAAACGTTGTCTATTTAATTACTATTTTTTATTAACTTCTATTGTTTATAACCCAGAATTGCCGCACACATACAAGACTGTTTGTGTCAAATGTCACAAAGCCCGTCCTTTGGATTCACTCAGTGACACTTTGTGCTGCTAGTGCCCTTTCTTTATATTATGTGATGACTTTTTGTTGTTTTTTGTTGTGATGCACTATTTAGTGTTTAACTCTTTGTATACAATATTTCTATGTATTTTACAACTCACGCGGGGAACCCGTTATTGGAGCTTCGGCTCTGTGGGTGCGCCCTTCCTGTTTTTGGGTAAATTAAATAAATAAATAAATAAATAAATAAACATGGAGCCTATTTTGGAAATACCCAAAACAGTGTGATCAGCCTCAGAGTTTTTTTAAACAGCTGAGGGCATAATGTTTCAAGTGTTTTTTTTACAATTCCAAAGTATGGACATAAATTTATCAAACAATTCATGTTCTTACCTGTGAGAACATGTCAACTTGATTTAGCAATTGCTCCAAGACTTTTAAGATTGAAATGTACTGAAATGAATGTTTTTTTTTACTCTGTAGGGGCCATTCATTCCAGAACTTAATATCTCTTCCCCCAACACAATTTCATTTGGATCCTGTAACAATAGAAGTTATAAACAACAGTTACTACCTGCAAGGCAAAATATTGGTATCCTGGCTTAAGACATGGTGTACATTATTTGGGTGCTACTGTAGCTTGCATTGCAAGGGTGGTTGCCACTTAAATTGAAATGTTCTGACAGACTCCGTCTCTCAGATGGCAGAGTTGAGTACAATTGTTTGGTGTTAGGCAGAGTAAATTAATAAAGTAATCCACTTAAAGGGTTAAGTGTCAATACGCCCCACTTTATTATTTTACTCTAACACCAAACTATTTTACTCTGTCCAATGCCAGACGATTTTACTAACCAGTGGGAGAGTGCTGCTACTCAATGGATAAATCAGACTATCTGTTCATGCATCATGTTAACCCAGCCTAGACCTAGGCCTTCTATTTTTATTTATATATTTTTAATATTCAGCGCTTTTTCACATGAAAAGACTGGGACTAGGTAACTTGGGGGCGGGCGGAGGAAGGACACAAGCCTGACGCAAGCGAAAATATAGAAGGCCTAGTGGATTTCCCAACAACAAGGCCAAAACTGCCCTGAAACTGCCCTGATTGCGAAATGCCCAATTGTTGCGTTCTCAAACAGAATTATTTGCAACTTAACAGCGAATTTAAACCGATACAGGTAAAATAAACTCATTTATAGTATATAAACTTACTATTTTTATTTGTATACACGTCTAGAAAATCGGGTTTTTTATCACAAAGTTTGAAGCAAAACTATTATTATGTTGACAAGGTGAAGCGAAAGTACAAAATAATTCTTTTATTCGCAAGACAATCTACTGTTTTGCTTTGAATAACTATATTTGCGAATTGGGAATGAGGATTTTGAAATTATTGTTCAAATATTACAGATATACCATTTGTATAAACAATGTACGTTTTTATATACAGTACGGTACGGGCTAATAATATATGTATCCGTTTTATTTTGTATATTTTACAAACACAAGACTGCTTCTTGCCAAAATTGACAAAATATATATTAATGTACTTGTGTATAAGACAAAATTTCATGAAAGATTCTACTTTTGAGTTTTGGTATATATTTTGACTCATTTTGTTCTTTCGCTACACCTTGTCAACATATTAAATAATAGTGTTGCTTCGAACTTTATGATAAAAACCGATTTTCTAGACGTGTATACAAATAAAAATAGTAAGTTTATACTATAAATGAGTTTATTTTACCTGTATCGGTTTAAATTTGCCGTTAAGTTGCAAATAATTCTGTTTGAGAACGCAATAATTGGGCATTTCACAACCAGGGCAGTTTCAGGGCAGTTTTGGCCTTGTTGTTGGGAAATCAACTAG